TATCTCGAGCAGCGTGTGTGATAGACGAAAGCCGTAAATACAGAAAGTGATGCTCTTCATGCGGCCTATCACACTGTTTGAGCCGATTAGCCATATTTTTTTATGAATTTTGATTGAAGTTTAATGATATACTCCCGAAAAGAACAATTTTTAAGATACTTTAGATTTTTGTCCATAACTAAAACATGCATATAATCGAAAACCCGATAGTTATAGCACCAGATGTCCTGCGTCTCACGGTTCCAAAATTTTGCGATCGGGAAAATGGTTATGGAGGAAAACATATTTTTCCGGAAGCCAAAATAACCAAAAAAAAAATTTCAAAAATGTTTAAAAAATACTTGGTGAAATTTCAAATGTGGACACGGACTTTGACATCTCTGCTAAATTTGAAGTTGATATCCGCAAATTTAGGACACTTAAAACACAATGCTTATGCAAAAGATTTAGAAAGTGACATCTGAATCATAGCCTTTCAGTTATAGCCAATTTTCAATAATAGGGGGAGCCATTTTTCAGTTTTTTTGAATTAAAGGCGCACCTTGTACATTTTTGACAAATTGTCAAGAATAAAAGTTTGGAGCCGAATCTTCTGTGTCTTTTTGTTCAAGATTTTTTTCGGTTCTGTGAACGGTTTTTGGAAAATGATCTTTTTCGTGACCATTGCACCCGCGATTTTTATTTTTATTTTAAATACTTCCCGACCGCCCAGCGCTCCCATTTTCAATAGATTCACGGGGCAAAACTGCACTTCTCGTGTTCATAGCAAAAGTAGGTAAATCTCAGTTTCGTAGTCCAAACGGTTACAAAGTTATTGCGGAAAAACCAAAAGACGAGAACGGAGAACGTCCAGACAAAAATTTTTTTTTCGAAGGTCCCCTAGGACCTACCGTCACCGAGATATAAGATTTTTATATGAGCGTAGATACTTTCGAAAAATTCGATTTCATCGATTTTCGCTAGTAACAATGGATTTTTTCTTAATCACAGTCTCCGAACTTATGTCAGAACTGACGTTTGCTTTTTGTATTGCCGTATATAAAATAACTGGCCATGTAAAAGTTCCTTCTTTTTTGGTTTTTTTCTTTTGGTGGTTAACCAGTCGATAATTTCTTGTTTTCTCCAAAATGAAGTTGGAGTCTTCTTTAGGCACCGTGAATAAGAGCTTGTCTTTCCCTAACTAGTATTCAATATGTAGGAGGATATTTTATTATTTCACAAATATAGTACTCTCCGCTCTAAAACAACAGAATTTATTTAATCGTGGTAATATCCTAAATGGCACAACTCAATATTTTACAAATCCTTTTAAAAATCCTTCTTCGCTTCCAGTGTAGACGATTACTACTCTTCCTTTTTCTTGGAAGCACCTTAAATACCAGTTAATAGGATATTTTTGTCTTGTCCCATTTTTATTAATGTATAAACCGCAATTCACGTTTCATCAAGTAACTAAATTTCTTCCTTTTTTTTGTGGTCTTAAGTATTCTTGGCGGTTATGCTTTTTCCCAGTGAAAATGCCTATTTTTTAAAGTGGGCAATACATTTTTTTGGAGTTATAGAGATCGAACAAAATTAAAACAACTTTTCGACAATTTGGGTACAGTAAAATAAAACTCTATGATAGTAAAGCAATGATTTTTTTTATTATTATTTTTCAAAGAAAAATAAAATTAATTAAAGTACTTCTTTTTATGATCGCTTCAAAGGTGCGGCAATATGCAGTTAATATTTGGAACAACATCCTGCGTTTACAATAACAGCTTCGCAACATCTAAGCATCGTAATTGTAAATTGGCAGTGGTTTCTTCACTAGCGGAGGTATAAACGTTTTTAATTTGTTCGAAGAATTCGGCCTGTTTTTAAATTTTTTTCTTAGAATTTCTTTCTGCATAATCTATCAAAATATTATCAATGAGATTTAAGCCTGGTGATACCTCAAGAACCACTGCTTGAGTGTTTCGGGTCGTCATTGCTGAAAAGTGAACCCGAGAGGCATTTCTTACTAGGCGTAAAGTAGCATGACCTCTTCATAAATGTACCCAACCCCCTCAATCTGATGGATTGGCCCAACTCCAAACAACTCCATACCATAATATTATCTCCTTCATGCTTAACCGTTTGACAAACGTATTTAGGATTGAACCTTCTACGATCTGGAGGATGTATCCATATTGCATCATCACTTCTAGATATACCAAACTTTGATTAGTCAGACCAACACATATGGATTTCTTCTGCGTTAGGTTTTCTCTCTGTCTTGCTGACCTTTCGCTAAACATGCTGGTGGATTCCTCAAACTCAAGAAGCCAGCAGCATGTTTAGCGAAACGTCCCGACTTCGCCTTTTTAGGCTTACATTTTGCAATTCTTGTGACTTACGAGTAGTTATCATGAATTTAGTCTTCTTGGTGTTCATGTTAAGGCCCATGTCCTAACTATTCGATAATCCTGAGCATACTTGGCAAATCTTTTTTTTTATCTGCAATTAGAACTATATCGTCCGCTTTAGCTATATTGTTGACCCACACCATTTAATTTAATGCCCATGTTCCTTTCTTGTAGGACTTCCTAAAAGACGTTTTCGGAATACAAATTGAAGAGAAGTGCCGTTGCCTGGCCCCTCTACGGATTGGTTTTGCTGCTGTAAATTTACGATTTGGATGAGCTTATGATGTTGGACTCTCTCGAACCCTTTTTCGTAATCGATGAAGCACAGGATTATGTCTCTGATCGTTGCAGTTCTGGATTAGTACTTGAGCCTAACGTCCTGCCCTTTCGCACTGTTGTTCAGTGCGTCACTCATGGCAAGGGGATAAAATCTGATGTTGGCAGGAAACTTGCCTGTATTATAGATTATTTTCTCGTTGAATAGCTCGAGTAACTCGATAAATATACTGTCTGGTTAAATCGCCTTCCTATATTTTTGAAATTATTTACCTAAAGATAAAAGATTGCCATTGCTAAATGAAAAATTTATAATGCTTTAATTTCGTCCGATAATGTCAACGGAATACTGTCATCCTAACCAAGCTACGCCACAATCTGTTTTAGGATGGCCATTACACTTTCGTCTTTTTCCTGGTTTGCCGTTGGGTGGTTTCTTGGGAAGTTCCACTTGACGTGCTGTGCTGTCCTTTCCTAATGCAATAATTTGGATTTTCCCAATTTTTCGCTCACTGAAATTGAACGGAACTTATTAGAATTTCTCATTTTATTACTCTACTTTTCTAAAATAGCTTAAAATTGTCGTTTTAAGTTAGTGTATCAAACTGACATTTAGATTTTTTCTCGCTCGTCTTACGTAAACTTCCCTCTTTGTAATTGGGTACAATAAAGTCCTTATTAATATTATTTCATTATTATATCGATCCCGATATCTAATAAGCAAATTATAGATGCTTGTAGATGAAGTTATGGCATGGCAAACCGAAGCAGGTTAATAAATAAAGAGGAGAAAGTGGTCGATTTATGTTAAACAAAGTCGCATTTTAAAAAAATTCATTCGTCGTTGTTGGGCAACGTGCAATTTCGCTTACCGGTCCCGGCAAGTAAACTTTGCGAATTAATTGCGTTTTTTTTTGTTTAACTGCGAGCCGGTCCTTTTCACGTCCCGCATCTGATTTTTGGATCGGTAAAAATTACATACGTGACTTGCTAAAATTCCGCGAGTCATCTTTCGGCGGTATCCGCTTTTTTCTTTGCATGAAATTAATGTTGAAATTTTGGATTCCAGACCGACCGCTTGGCCGCGAAAAGATATTACAAATTTGCGCAAAAATTTACAGTAGGTCGTTAAGATTTTTATTCAATAAACTTGTTGCATCTGCATGTCGCTTTTGGTGCTTAATTTAAAATCTTTTGAAAATCGATAAAATTCTTATTGGTTTCGGGTTTGTCCGGAAAAAACCGAAAATCAGCAATTTGTTTTGGTTTTTTTGCTGCCTTTAAGTTTTTTTTAACAAATGACACTTTATCATTACAACTTTTGTTTCCCTTTGGCATTATTAACTTTTAAGTATAACGTTTTAGTTTTGTGTACCCATCAGCTTAACTCATCGACATTCTGAAAACATATATGTATCACATATGAATGAATTACTAAATATAGAAACAAGGTGGCCCTGAAACACAAGCATCATTACGTCAAACCGCCGTCTTGACGTATTTGTTAAATATTAGAGTTTTCATTACATTTTTCTTGGGTAACCAATTATTACAATAGCAAATAATGGCGTTTTTAAAGTGAATGTAAAAATATGTTTTCTTACTGCAAATCAAGAGTGGAGAAGTAGAGGACACACTTATTGAATTAATATTGAAAAAATAAAATTTCTTTGATTTCATAATGTAAAAAAACAATTGTATAATGCTAGAACTGCGTAGTAAAACATACTACCTTATAATGAAAACAACTGAAAGAAGATACTTTTTTTGTATCACCCTGTTTAAGTTTCAGGGTTATCTGAGAATCTTCCAAAATAAGCGAGCATCAAATGAAGCTTGGGCTTAAGCTTAAGCTATTCCTTTTAATCATTGGACTCAAACTAAACTAAATTTTGCAATAGTCTTTCTCTTGCTTATTTATATAAATTGAAATATGGGATCTTGTTTGTGATGATAGAAAATGGCGGTAGATATTGACGTGTATGACGTAGAAAATAGCTATTACCATTCCTCTCTCTCGAAATAAAATTTGCCTCACAAAATCGATATTTGCTGCAATAGCGATCCCATTCCGATTAAAATCTAGAGTTCACTGGTCTTAGTACCAGTATATTTTGAATGACGCACCGCTGTTTAGGGTGCGTTTAGAATTTTGTTGTAGATTGTATATCTGTTACGGCTTGAATTCAATTTGGATACAAGGTCGTTGACGGGTAATTAATTGATATCGGATTGTACTTAAATCGAAAAGCAAGATGTTCTTTAAATGGATTGAATTTTTATATTTTTGGATTAGTTTTTTGTTCGTTAGCTTTAACAGGTTATTTCTTGCAGATCCCACGATGGCGCATTTAGTAACCAGTGTGATAGACAAGTACCACGATATTTTGGATAATCAAAGTGGTGAGTAGAAGTGGATTTGTTTTAAATTAGTTATCACCAAGTACTATAAAATAGTACTCGGCGCCCCTTTTTCGATATGTCCGATTGGGAAACTATTGTTTTGATATTTGAAAAAAAAAATTAAACGCTTTTTCATTGCAACTTTTTATTATTTTTTCTACTCCTTAATGTAAAATACCATTTTGGGCATATTTTTAAGCCTTAAAACGTCAGCTTCGTTAAACACCCATTTCGATCGTTTCCGGTTCTTTAGTCAGGGGTCGAGAGCGATGTTTTCGATAGATTTAATATTTTGACATTTGCCAATTCGAATGGTCACGTCAGACGTCATTGAATGCTGTTTTACAAATTCGTACTCCAAAATTAAAGGTCGTAAAAAAGTATAGTATGCAACACGTTTACTAAACTCTTGGTTAAAATGTAATTTTTAAAACTCGCCGACTAATATACTATATGTACTCTAACATCGTTATAATGAAATTATTGTTTAGATGTCTTAAACATAATATTTTTTTACATAATCCTTTATTCAGGCAGACACTACATGTACATTTACAATTATATTGTAATACACTATTAGACTCTCTAGACAAGAATTAAGGTATGGTCTGTTCATAGATATAAGAAAGTGACCAATGGCTTTTGAACGGATTATCCAAGGGTGGTCATGAACAAGATTATTATTATTAAATAATATTTAATAATCAATTAATAATAATAATTATTATTATTATTATCATTATTTGATTAATTATTAATTACCTTATCAAATAATAATAATCTTGTTGCATTGTATGTTAATGACAACCCTTGGATAATCCGTTCAAAAGCAATTGGTCGCTTTCGTATGTCTATGAACAAACCGTCACTTTCTAAACAATGCATTAAGCATTGATCCCGAAAGCATTTTAACTGAATTATCTAATAATAATCTAATATAATAGGTTCGAGTCTTGCAAGAAGGTAATTAAATGTATTATTTTATTGCATAAATATAAATTTAAAATTACGCCATTCTTAAAGGCTCAAGTATTCTACAAAAACTAAGTTTCTCATAAGAACATATCGAAAAAGGGACACCCTGTACATCGATGACGTAATGATAATTCAAGTCCTCGATATAAATGGAGCGTCAATCGTTTTTAGTTGCTTGGAGTTTGACAAATAATGGTAGCCAATGTTTAAAATTGAGTTATCAAAAAATCAATTCAGAAGCTCAAGACTGTTACTACTTCAAAAATCGCCAGTGTAAAACCAGCTTTAGTACTTGTAATCCTGTTACGTTATAATAACACTTTCTTCGGCGACGTATTTGCGGAACGGGTTGTGCAACAACGTATTAAAACAAAATTAATTATTGTTGCAAAAAAGCGTATGAATTGCATCCTATTAATTCGATCCGTATACCATAATTGAACTGTATAATGTGTAAGTGATATTTACGCATTCCGTACTACTTTTATTGTACAGCAATTTTTATTCCTCTTAGTTAACGATTTTTTTTTTCCTAAAATTCTGAACTCGCTTACTTTTCTTATTGCGCTTCATGATAAGTGACAACCCAGGTACGAACGAAATTAAAATAGTAACATAGAAACCCAACGGGTGGGTCCTGGCGGCGAGCGGGGCGACACGGTTAGACTCATCTAAAATATTTAAAGAATGCACAACACAGTGCTTGAAACAAATAAATCACCTAATCACTCAATTGATTATTAAATGTAATTCAACGATCAACTACAAACAACTCGCCGGGTAGCGTTCAGAAAAATACCATAGCTCCACAATATTACGAATTATAACTTTTCGCGAGTCAAAAATAAATATTTCATAACATAAAAAACGAAATATTCGAAAATATCGACCTCCTAAAGTTAAGGGCGCCGACATACAAGATATCCATAATTCAAGATTTGAGATGTGAAACTTACTTACTCTATCTGCCGTTGCATCCATAGTTAGAGCGCTTTATCTATGCGAGATGTAACTCGTTGTTTGTTCCTTTCTTCTTTCTTCTACTTCTTATGAGGATGACTCTCATTCTTCACGGCTTTCCCTTCATGATTTATTAGGTTTGCTGCTAACTAAAAAAACCTTATACTAGTCTTTCTTCGTGAATTCGGTGGACAAACAATTTCACTAAGTCCATAATTTTATTCACGAAATAGAACTTGTTCAAATTTCGGTCAAGCTTTTGCTTTAAGTCAGTAATACCAACTGTTAAAATAAATCAAAATCACAATCAAAATATTCATATTATAAACCAAACTCGTGTATTAGATGTAGTTGTAAATTACTTGTGGAAATTCGTCCTTAAAAGTGTCATATATTAACTCTACAGACTTTGGGGCAGAATAACGAAATAATAGAGTATTAGATAAGTAAAGATTGAGGCTATACATAACCTCACACCTTCGAACGAACGTCGAACCTTCGCCCGCTCCGCGGGACCCCCAGTGCTTGTAGGGGGTGCTTCATATGGGGCCCCGTGCTTGTAGGGGACTATCCGCATCCAAGCACTGGCGAATCCCTCGTACCCCCGCCGAGTGCTTAAATGTTGGACGGTTGTAAGGTTTGAGGTTATGTATCGCCACAACTCTATTTAGTAACCTATTAATAGAAGACTCAAATAATCGGAAGCTGAACATTAGGCTTCAAATAAATTTCACCTGTAGCCAGGTGATTTTAAGAGTTAGCACTGAACTTATCGCATCTCGAAAATTTGTGTTCATTTTCTCTGTCCCTTCTTTCTCATGACTCGTTATTTTATTAAAACTTCCTCTTGGCATCTTCAAAAACCTGTTTAACTGCTCAGATAAGCGGCAATGAATGATACTTAAAAACAGGGACAACATTTTTTTATATAATTTTTGTGTAACACAACAGAATACAGGCACCAAACAAACTAGAAGTCTAAGAAAATGTGACGCGTTTAAAATTATATTTAAAAAATCGGTCATAGCGTTATAGCTAACAAATTTTGATTGATTTTGATAGGGGTTTGTCTACAGTCTCACTAATTCTAGATTCGTCTTCATCTGAGACGAAATAAAATAATGTAATTTTGGTTAACGTTTTTGCTGTATATTAGTTTAATTTAACCATCTCTTATTTCTGAACTAGATAGAGCAGAGCTCCCAACAGAGATATAAAGACTTTTCAATTTTCGGCCCTTTTGAAAATTGCCCACAACTTTTTTATTTATGGAAGTTTTGAATTCGGATAAAAACATTATTAGAGCATTTTTTAAGGCCATTGGAGTGGTGTACTCAGATTTTTTCTATAGTTCTTTCTTTTCACATAAATGAATACAAGCTCCTGGCAATCATAGTTGGCTATGGCCTTGTCGAGCCTTTTTATGAGTTTTTATTATTTTTTGCATATTTATTATTTACTGTTTTATTTTATATTTCATTATATTATATTATTTTACTATGCACTTTAGTCGAAAATCCCGGGAAGAAAAATTGTAACATAAGCACGCCTTTTTTTTAGTTTTCACTGACAAATTAGAAATCTTCCTGTGTAAATAGCTGCAAAATATTCGAAATATTCACACTCTCTGACTCCCCGTATATGTGTTTACGCTCCTATAATGCGAAGCCATTAAAGAGAATCGCGAGAATAGCAATGTCCGTTATAACCGCCAATGACCTTAGAATAAATGGGGCATTAATTCATTTCGATAAGGTTCCGAGAAACAGTATCTTGTCTAGCAGTCTGTGTTCAAAAATGGGAGGTTTTGATGTTTTCCTTTGTTTTTTAAAAAATGGAAATTTTACCCTGTGCGGTTATTGCCCGGTATAAAATTTATAATACAGGATATTTTATATGGTAGCTTTCCATATTTCAGTTTTTTAAGACGCCTCAAATCGTCCCTAAATTAAAGTCACACTAATTTGCGTATAATTGAAAGACGAATTTGACGAATGAATGATGCGGCGTTACGACAGGTAATTTATTTAAGTTTATTTTATTATTAAAGAGGTGAGTAAATAAATAAAAACTTGTAAAATTACAACTCCGATTCCTATGTTGTTCTTTATTGGGTTAATTCATATTGTTTTTGTTATTTTCCTTGGAATCTGCATTCTGTTCATTTATGAATTGCTATTACTGTTATTGTAACTACTTGCAATTCTTGTTTTTTCCTTTCCTTTAGGTGCGTACTTATATAAAATTGAAATAATTAGCAAGTACTTTTTTCATTTCTTTTGTATAATTAATTTTCACAGCAGCATTGAGATATTTTTCATATTAATTGATATTCCGTCATTTAAATCGTAAATCCATAAGAAACACCTATAATTTATAAAATATTCTGTCAAAATAATTATTAATTTTAACACAATATTTTCTTAGGTGTCCTATTGTTATTAGTAAGTATTGCCAAATTGAATTTGATTGATGGATTTTTAATTATTTACTGTTTACAATATAACTTAAATTGTAAACTTCGTTTTCTTCATTCTTTTATTTCAATCTCATGTGGCGCACTTACTCCGTTTTCCCCAATCGCAGTGGATTATTCCCTTTTCCAAAAGTTCCTCATTTTAAAAGTGGGACTTAATTCACAATAATGTAGCCGAAGACAAGATACGGAAGATTTTATATTATTGAACGTTAGTAATAGTTTTACGACTTTTGGCTGCTCCTGCAGCGACATTTGCTTAGAACTAACATACTAGCGTAAATAGGTGCAGTTCAAAGGCGAAACAGACTATTCTGGGTTGAGAGAGAACACCAACCCTTAATAGAAACAGAAACCTCCTAGCGTGGGAAGGAGCGGAGACAAAATAATACAACTTTATTGTAAACACATTACAAGAATATATGAAGTTATTCTTCATCGATGAACCTACAATTGCCCTATATTAAGTATTTGATATAATACCAGGAAATTAGTCAGTAATAGTTAATATTTAAGCCCATACAAGATACAAACCAAAAACAAAGCAACCTGAAACGCAAAGGAATATCAAAGAAGAGAAAAAAAGAGA